TACGTTACGTACGTACGAGTACGTAGAGTACGTAGTACGTAGTAGTAGTAGTAGTACGTAGTAGTACGAGACGAGTAGACGAGGACGCGAGCAGCGAGAGAGAGAGAGAGAGAGGGGTATGAATCAGGGGCAGATCTGCCTTCTTTTCAGAAAGAGAGAGAGGTATGAATCAGGGGCAGATCTGCCATCTTTTCAGAAAGAGAGAAATGAAAAGAGTGAGAATCTGTTCCCTCCCTCCTAGAGAGATGAAATGGGGGGAGCATACTGCCCCTTCATTGAGGGAGAGATGAGAAAGGGAGTGTGGATCTGTCCCCACCCTAGAGAGAGAGAAAAAGGGTTTTCCCATGTGCCGGAGTGGGTGCATTGGTACACCATGGCGTGGCCAAGTAACTTGGATGAGTTGAACACTAGTTTGGATTGACTGCTAAACATGACTTAGTTCTATTTTTAAAAACCCATGTGCCCGAGTGGGTGCATTGGTACACCGTGGTGTGGCCGAGTAACTTGGATGAGTTGTTGAACACTGGTTTGGATTGACTGCTAAACATGACTTAGTTATATTTTTAGAACACATTATACACTCCATAACATATTTGTCTTCGTCCTTTCTTGTTTGGAGACGACAGAAAACAGCTAAATCCGATTAACTCCACAATAATAAAAAGAAATGCATACAATAAGACCATTTACTTTTGGTATAAGGAGGTCACCGTTAGATGTCAAATTGGATGGTTGGGGATGTCTCATTATCTAGGCACAAAGTCTAAAATAAAATTTCTCCAATATCGTGACATACTTCAATATATCGGCTTACATATCCAATGGCTAATAATGATTCTGACCTTGTACCATAAATGAATGGTCTAGTTATAGTATACAATCCGATAATACAATACTTGTTGTTTTCTTGAGTATATGATAACGTGGTGAATAGTGCACCATTTGGTGGATCCATACTTGCCTTTATTGTCAAAAGAGTGGAAGTCGCAACTTGTTCAGGTGTCCACATTAACCACTTTGAATTGCACATTGTTACAAATGCATAGGATAGGAAGCTTTAATGAATCGGTTTAGACTTAATGCTCTAATCTACCAATCAAATAACCAAACAAGAAAGAAAGAGAAAATTCTCTAGTCTCAATAATATCATTGCAAACGTTTTAACTGGCTTATCTTTCCTGTTCACTTATCCTGAAACTGAATCTCGCATTTCACTCTTCCAAGATGTAAATGATAGGAGAATGATCAGAAATATTCCCCATTAAAAGTTGTATGCACAATGGCCTTAGAATTTATTCTGAAATGTTTTGCAACAATTGCAATGATTTGAAATTTCAAAAAGAAAATTGCAATGTTTCAAACCTCATGATGTCTGGGAAGTAAATGGACAGGTTCCTGTGCACAATATTCCTCTGAAAGCAGGACTTCACGCATTCTCCACTACCAACAAGGCCAAGAAGCCTTTCTTTACAAAAAAATTCAATTGTTTCACCACACTTTTACCCTTTTAAAGTAAGGACAAGAGGCTCACAGATTACGGACTGCAAGCAAACCAATTCTATTATGTAAATTAGTGATGTTTGTAGACCGTGAGTCCCTTGACAAAGGGAAAGTATCCCTTAAGTTTGTGTGGTAACCGGGGGGCAATTAAGTGACTTGGGCTCACACTACTCTTACCTTGAGTTTATAGATCACTCTTGCAGTGGTCTATGCATAAGATAATGTTGATGATCAAGGGGCATGGAAAGGGTGGCAATCGCATTCTTTTTCCCTGTGCACACATGCACACATTAGGGTGAATGTCAATAGATGCTCTATAATTACATAAATGTCTACATGTCCAATTCTTGGGTAAATAATGCATTAGAATTACTGATGCATCTACATATCCCTTTCATTTTGAGAGAACAAAAATACATTACGATCAAATGCTCTGCAAAACTTTTCATAGGAAGCGAGCAGATCTTTAAACAAGCAACCCCCTGCACAGCCCATCAACAGAAGTACAGAGAGCATAGAGAGAAGAACAAAAATGAAAAAAGAACAAAAAAATTTATAGGCAAAACAGTAACTACGCTGGTTGTTGTAGTGGCTGCTGTTGTGGTTGCTTCATGTCCCCTTGCCAAGCCCACACTATATCTTCAAGTGAAGGCTTTAGCTCTTGGTTGCAAAACGTCTGATATTCTAATGTATCACCAGCTGATTTCTTCACCTCCACAACAAAAAAAGTAGGGGTCACCTCAAAGATCTCGGCATCAATGGCCAATTGACCCTTTCGCCCCTCCTTTGACCCTTGCAATTTCACCAACCCATCTTTCTTCTTCACCTTGAACCTCTCTGTTTCTGCAATCTCTTCGAGTTTAGACACAATTCTTGAAACTGGTTGCTGGGTTGTGAACCTCGCCTCTGGCTTTGGGTTGTTCTCCTTCTCGAAAAGGCCCGAGAGGTCGAAACCAGGAGAGAGAGAGATTATATCAAAGGCGTTTAAGCAAGTGGGTTTCACAGGACCCTTCTCCACTCCCTTTTTCTCTCCTTCCCCATTTTCAAGGCTCGAATCGAAAGCCAAGTCCACATCACCAATTTCTGAATTAACCACCAATGGGGGTTGCAAAGACTCTATTGGCTTGAACCCCTTCTTGAACCAGGGGCTCTCAATGAGCATAGCCATGGTGATTCGTGAGGTCGGGTTTGGGTCCAATAGCTTGGATAAAAGCCTCCGAGCATCTGGTGAGAACCATGGTGGGAACTTGAATTCTCCCTTACTGATCTTTTTGTACATCTCCATCAGATTTGGGTCATGAAATGGAAGATAACCAGCCATCAAAACAAATAAAACAACCCCACAAGACCATATATCAGCCTTAGCTCCATCATAGCCCTTCTTGCTTATAACCTCAGGTGGAACATAAGCCGGAGTTCCACAAGTGGTATGGAGCAAACCATCTTGCCTCTTTGATTCAGCCAAAGCACTGAGGCCAAAATCAGATACCTTCAGGTTTCCCTCCTCATCGAGAAGCAAATTTTCAGGCTTCAAATCTCTATGATAAACCCCACGACTATGGCAAAAATCAACAGCGCTAACAAGTTGCTGAAAATACTTCCTCGCTATTTCTTCTTTGAGCTTGCCTTTGGCCACCTTGTTGAAGAGCTCGCCTCCTTTCACATACTCCATGCAAAAATATATTTTTGTTTTGCTAGCCATGACTTCATACAGTTGGACCACATTGGAGTGTCGAACCAGCCTCATGACAGAGATTTCTCGTTTGATTTGATCGATCATTCCCACTTTGAGGATCTTCTCTTTGTCGATCACTTTAATGGCAACGCTCTGAGCAGTCGCAAGGTTTCTCGCATAGTAGACCTTTGCAAAGGTCCCTTGGCCTAAGAGCCTCCCCAATTCATACTTTTGCATAAGAATCGTCCCCTTTTTCTGCATTTTTTTCAGCTCGGTTATGTCTTTCGACCTAATTTTGAATCCTTGACCCTACTGTTATATTCGAGCTACAAGAGCCTTTGTCCTGCATTTGTTTGAGTTTGAATATGCAAACACGGATGGCTGCATTCTTTGATAGCTTTTCAGAGAGATCAGGCAAAAAATTGCAGACAACCTAGAAATGCAGAGAGATCCAACCAAGCATTGCAATTTTAAGAGAGAATGAATAATTGTTGAAAACTAGCAAGAAATAAACAAAAATATCGAGCAAATAATCACCCAAAAAGCCTGAAATCGCAGAGATCTAAGAAATTCCTTGAACCCAAGAAATTCAAAGAGATCAAATGAAGAATCACAGAAAAAACAGCAAAAGAAGAAAGGGAAGAAAAATTGGTACCAGATTATTGAAATAAGAAGGGGATGGGAAATTCTTGGTGATTTTCTGGTGCGCCCCACCTCATAAAACCAGTCGATATCTAGGCCAAAATTAACAGCAAATCGTTAATGGAAGCCTGTTGTGAAGGCTTCGAAACGAAGCCTTAACAGCAGGGCGGGTCCATGCTGTTATCGAAGAGAGCAAATATATTTATGCACAGAGCCGTTAATGGCGGTGAAAACAGCAACTACAAATAGCAAATTTTAATTCTGTAAAATCGAAGGAAATGGCGGATACGAACCGTAGAAAAGTAGAGAGAAAAGGTAAGAAGAGAACGTAGGGTTTAGAGGGAGACACGAAATTTTTGCAGAGTAGACTTTGCACAGTTTGGGCTTCTATTTATAGTAATGTTCTCGTATGCAAAATTTTAATTTAGTTCCTAAAAATAGAAAATAAAGTGTAGTGTTCCATCTTTCCGGAAATATCGACGGCTTGGGAAATAAAAGCCAGGGGCTTGCAATATGAAAAGTTTGGAAACGTGATTTTTACACTTCTTTTTATCATGTTCTCCAGGTAAATTAACTGCAAAAGTTAAGTTTTTCAACCGTAAATGTCTAACCTCTTTGCATAGAGGCTAAAGAGAGTTTTTTTTTTTTCTTTCTTTCAAGTGAGTAAGTGGGGAGAAGGCCTCAATAGAAATTGAGCCTGAGATTTAGCATTGCAAATTGTCAAGCGCTAACGAATTTAGCAGAAGTACATCTCAAGTTCCATTATCAAGGGCAAAACAAACAAGTTTATGATGAGGTTTGCATAAAGGCTCCTACACACTAACTTTTAGGATTTGAAATTATTATTTTTCTTTATATTCACACATCTAGAGGTTGAGATAGATTGGAGGGTTTTGCAACATTATAAACACTCTCTTCTAACCTTACTTTGATAATATAAAGTTCTAGCACTATATAATTTTCTTCATATATTAATAATTTCAATTATAAATGTTTGATTGATCTCTCGGCTAATGCGGTTTTGGTTTGCTGCGACTGACCTTAATAATGTGGGTTATGTTAGAGATGGGTCCAATGGGCACATGCCTCTAGTCTCTACCATGGTGATGATGAATCTAAAAAAAAAGAAGAAAGAAAGAAAGAAAGAAAAAAAGAATAAACAAAAAAAAAAAAAAAAAAAGAAAGAAGAAGAAAAAGAAAGGTTAACCTCATGCATGATGATTAATGTTAACAACGCACTACAAAGCTTGAACTGCGCTAATCCAACCATTTGTGCCATACTTTTTTAAAAAAGCAAAATTGATACCAACCATAACCTATGTCTCCATTTACCTTGCCGGCCATAATCAACAAACAACAAGCTCAAAAATACCAATTAATAAACATTTTTCTTGTTCCAAAAGCACTTTGGACAATAGAAATCTGTGTGATAGCTTTCAAATCAATTTCCAACTGTAATTATGAAATTTGAAATTAAAAAAATATACAAACCTTACATATCTATGAACACTTATTTTTAGGGAGAAATGGACAATCTAAATAATATGTTACAATATACACTATATTTGGGGTTCTGTAATCCTTTTTTTTTTTGTCTGCAACCATAATGAACAAGGTTGAGATGACCGATTTAAAGGTTTTATGATGCCAGAACTACAAATTTTTTTAGAGTTTTGAGGGGAGACTGTGTTTAATTTGGTAGGACTGCAGCCCTATCAATACGTTTTTCATTAAGAAAGGAACACAAAGAAATAAGAGCCAAATGACTTGCTACTTATTTCAAGCTATACTACTTGACAAATTGTAAATTATGGAAAAATATAACTGCCCAAGAAAACAAAAGAGGGGAAAATTTAAGGGTAGTAATTTCATGCAACAGTTGTATCTTAGTATAATGCAACAACCCTTCTAGAAAACCATGTATATGGTATTTGTATGACCCAAAATTTTGTACACACATCATCTCAGTAATCAATCCCAATAATAAAAAAGTTCAATTTGAACCTTAGATATGGTCAAAACGAGTCCCCTACAAAAATGAATCTAGGTCATTCATTTGGTGAATTTCAAGATCTTAGCCTTTATAAACTCAAAATCATTTTTTTTTTCTTCTTTAACATTGTTCATCTAATAATAATAAAGCCATCCAAAAAAATTGGAAATGAAAAAATCCTTCTAAGGCTTAGATTTAAGCATCTCACCAAAATGAACGGCCTATGTTAATTGGGGTAAAAAAACTTTCTAGGTTGTGTTTTCAAATTTTTCTTTTTTGTGATTGTTCATTAGAATGAAAAAATAGTGTATATTTCAAAATTTCGATCAAACAAATGGCCATAACATGGTTTTTGAAAGTTGTTGCATCATATTACTATACAACCGTTGCATGAAATCATTGCCCAAACATCATAGGGCTAAAGGCCCTACCAATTAGCATCCACATCGTCATATAAAAAATGAGAAAATATCTCGCACCGTGCCACGTGTAAGGAAGCTTATGAAAAGCTCGAGGAGCCCACCTTGTGGGGCCTGGAAAGCAAATCCACTTGAATGTGCGCCCGAACTGGGATCAGTGTCATTTCGAGGAGTCTCCAGCTGAACGTGTGTGGTCCCCAGCGACCAACAATGAAGAGCCACGTGGTTGGTTGTCCATTTTGGCTGGCTCGTATGTAGCCCCAACGAGGGAAGAGGGAGGAAGTGGCACGGTGTGAGCCGCACACTCCAAGTGTGGGCTCTAGGGGATCACAAAATTTGGCCCAAGATGAAGATTAATGGTGAATGGGCTTATGGGAGGATGTGTGGTGGGACAACGAATCGATGGGTATTGTGATTGATGTCATGGTTTCACGAAAAGGACTACCATCCATTGGTAACATCATGGAGCTATCATCCTCTCTCTCTCTCTCTCTCATGTCTACTGTCTTTTCTCTCATGGGATGCTCCACAACTCTGCACTCCCATGGAAAATTTGTCGGATCTGACCTAAGTTATTGGGTCAGATTTGAATAGTTAGCTAAGCAATTTGGATTTAGAATTTCAGAATTGCCTCCATATTCTCTACTTTTTATTGTTGTTCCTAATTGATTTGTTGAATATAGCTTGAATTGATTCAATTCAAGACAAGCCTCTGAATCAATTCAAGTTGTATTGAGTCAATTACAGTCTCCTAGGGTCCGTTCGAGGTGGACAAGCCTCCTAGAGTTTTTGCTTAATAAAATATGGTCTTTCATTAACCCAATTGAAAATACATGTTTTCTTTTTTATATATCTTAAAGTGTCATCATAGAGTTCATCAATTCACATCAATATTCCTAGAAAGTAGGAAACTTTCTGACCTAAGTGGTCGGACTTGATTTCTCGTCGTTCCAGCCCGGATATGGTTGACCTGGTCTAAAGAATCATCTCTCAAACAACGGCGAGGCCCACTTGCTTGCACGCACGTGTGCTTGTGGTGCGAATATGAACCAATAAAGAGAGAGATTTTAATCGACAAAGGACGTGCTGTGTGAGGTTCGCGGGACGCGTCCGAGCAATTTGCGCTCTTATATCTTCTTGAAACCCCTCTGGCTATCCTTGCAGCGTGGTTTGAATTCAGCTCCCTCGCTTTTCTATACAACACTTGGATCTACACACTAAAAAAGGCATTTAGCATATGCTTTTTGGGGGTGTCCTCTTATTGGTAATATGGTAAATTTGGAATCTAAACCAAGGGTTAGAGGGATGATGGAAGTTCTTTACGACTCGAGTGTAACGAGACTCAACGATTAGAGCAGTCAAAGAGTCAAAACTCTATGGATTGCTAACTCAGGATGATCCCATCCGAGTGAGCTAGGGCAAGAGCATTAATATCTCCCGCAACTCAACTCGACTGTACAGAACAGAAGTTAGAGCAACAGTCCGAAAGTTAAACCCTTAAAATAGCTTTAAGTGTAGCACCAAATCGAACACACAAAGAATAAAAGAAGCTGCCAATACAAAAGAATAGAGGGGTTGTGAAGATTAGAGTGTACTCAAAATAGTGTAGGTTCGGATGGGTGAAGTACTAGTGGAAGTGTGTAAAAGGGGTGCGTAAGAGAGTGGAGATAGGAGCATGTGGCAGAGAGTGAAGTGAGTGTGCGTGTGAGAGTGTGTGAGTGAACGTGAGAGTGTGTGATGTGTAAGGGAGAGATAAAGATTTGAGAGGGAGAGGTACGTGCAATAGAGGGAGAGATAGGATTGAGAGAGAAAAGTGGCGTGAAGAAGATGAGATAGAAGTGTGTGAAGGAGAAGAGAGAGAAATACGTGAGCGAGATGAGAGAGAGGTACGTGCAATAAAGGGAGAGAGAAGATTTGAGAGAGAAAGAATGTGAGAAACGTGGCATGAAGAAGAGAGAAGTTCATGAGAGAGAAGAGAGTAATATGTGAGGGAGATTAGAAGAGGTATGCATAATAAAGGCATAGAGAAAATTTGAGAGAGAGAAAAGAGGAGAAAAAAGTGGCGTTGAAGGGAGAGAGAGATTTGGACATGTGGAGAGGAGACGAAAATGAGAGAATGATGATTTGTTGAGAGATTGAAAGAGATAGAGCTGGTTGAGAGAAAGAGAGGTACGTGGGATAATGAGGGTGAGAGATCGAACAAGATAGGAGAGAGAGAGAGAGGGAATGAACAAATGTGAGAGGAGAGAGAGAATGGTTATATGAGGGGAGAGAGAATGATTGTGTGAGGGGAGAGAGAATGATTGTGTGAGGGGAGAGAGAATGAATAACTAAGAGGAAAGAGGGTGAATGATTGCATGAGGAGAGAGAGAAATAAAGAAATAAAAGGGTGTTAGGCGTGGGCATGGAGAGAAAATAGGAAGGTGGTGGGCACAAAGAGAAAATAGGAAGGTCACGGATACAAATGAAAAATAAAAAGGTTGTAGGCACATGGAGAAAATAGAAAGGTTGCGGGCACAGAAAGAAAATAGGGAAGAGAGAGAAAGGGAGAAGAGAGATAGAAGAGGAAGTAGGAGAAATGAGAGAGAATGGAATTGGGGTGTATTCTAGCCTACGTGCACACTCATGAGCCCCTTTGCATGCATATGAGAGAAGGATTAGGCTTTGGTTAAGACTAAGGCCCACGGTCTATGATGTAGGCTAGGGTGTATGGTGTAGCGTGTAGGCTAGGATTATTGGACCAGGGGTAGTTTCTCTCTCCACAAAAGTTTTCTCTCTCTCCCCTCTTGAAGTTGGACGATTCAAGGCTTGGAGGGGCAAAAACCCCAATTTTTATTACACTTCCCAACTTAGGTTTACAAATAACTTAATATCACTTTTATAGAGTGACTAGAAAACCAAGGTGACATGCTCAAAGCTAAGTCGAATGGTGAAAAATT